TGAATTTAAAGTAACAGCAAAACTTTACTGGTTACAATGTACATTTGCTCTTTCTCACACGCTTAGTCCTTCTCAACTAGGCTGCCAAGCACTAACTAGAGGGACAAAAGTCTGGATCCAAAGGAGTGGGTGGGCTTCAGGACCCCTTTTAATCCCCAAAAGTTCTTTGTTGTTTAGCTGGGATTGGGGTGTTTTCCACACGCTCAGGCCCATCTTCCTTTGTCTGGTTCAGGTGACATTTTTCCCTTTGTTTGCTTAATGACTTGTTTCCTTCTTATCCGCCGCCCCAAGGGATCTTTCAGACAAGAGTCCCGGCCGTTTGCCCTCTCTGCTTACGTGTCTGCTTCATCTTTAGTTATGGCAGCTTCAGCCTAGTCTCACACCTCCCCCCAACTCTTGGCATCCTGTGCAAAGCCTGGCACACCCCTTGAGTTGATCAGAGTTGCACACAGCTCAAGAGATTCAAAAATGGCTATTTTACATTGACTCCTGTTTTACCACTGTGAATTGTTTAAAGCCGTAGCTGTTAGTCATAGCAATTTGGGATCGACTGCTGTTTCAAGAGCCTTCAGGTGGCAGTCTGTACAGTAGTTCGCAAGAATTGCAGTGACTAATCTCTATGGCTCGCTTAATTCATACAGCTGCCTGGAAAACATTACAATTGACGGCTGATTTGATGATCATCTGGCACTTCTGCAAACAGTGTTGAGCAGCAGTTGGAAGGAAGGAATATAATATTCTTTTCTGAAGCTTAATTTATATGTAATTTTTCCATCATTAGAGTAAATAAGAGATAATATTTGTATGTCTTTGATGGGCACAGCCCCGGCTTCTCTGATTAACAGACGGTACTGCTGGGATTTCAAGTTCTGCTCCTGGGGGCGGGTTGGAGAAGATGCAAATTTTCCTTGGCCATAGTTGCCAAAAGTACATTAAGCCAGATATGTCACATGTATTTGATGCATGATTTCTTACATCTGGTTCCCATGTTCACTCCATAAGCGACTCTGACGATAACTGAAAAAGTAAAATTCTAAAACTTGCCCCAACAAAAAAACTTCCAAAGTCAGATACAGATAGTTGGCACGCATACAAAATAAAACCTGAAATAAACATTGCATTGTGGACATTCTGCCAGATTGATCCAAATCACTGTAGGTCAGCAGAAACAAAACTGGAATGTTTATGTGGGCCAAGGTTTTAGTCAGAGATCCCGTTGTGATTTTGTGAGGGTTTGGGGAGGTAAGGCTGCCCTTGGTTTTTTCCTTTCCCTCC